GCCGAGGGGAACGAGTTCAAAATCACCATCCGGAATAGGTCGGAGTGGGATTTGCTCGCTGCTGGATGGCTCGTCCTGGTCGAAGCGAGCGTCGAGGGCTATGGAGTCGACCTTTGGTGGAGCCTTCTGGACATCTTCCTCGGGGGATGCTTTTCTGTCGGGCTTCTGCTTTGTCCTCTTGGTGGGTCTGGTCCCCACGTCGACGGTATCCCGTCCCTTCGAAGCGGCGTTGAAGCACCTGCGGGCGGCGGCGAGGTCTCCTTGGATGGTGGCTACCCGTGCCCTTTTGGTATAGAACTTCATTTTCAGATGGACAGTCGAGGGCACCGCTGTCAGCTCCGCCAATGTCGGTCTCCCCAAGATGCAATTGTATAGAGACGGGCAATCAATGACGAGGAAGCGGACCTTAACCTGTCTTGTAGTCGTTCCTTCTCCGAACGTAACCAGGAGCTCGACATAACCCCAAGGTTTGGAAGTCGAGCCGTTGAAGCCTTGAAGATCCGAACCCACATACGGAGAGAGATGTGAGTCGTCCAGTTGCAAGGTCCGGAACAGCTGGCTGTACATCACGTCGACGGAACTCCCTTCGTCGACCAGGATGCGATGCACGTCAAAATTGGCCATTTTCGCCCTTATCAGCAAGGGGATGACCGCGTTCGGGGCTCCTCCGGGGAGTTCTTCCAGGTAGAAGGTGATGGGCTCTGACCTGCCCTTCACCCTTTCGAACGTCACAGTTTGTGGAGGAGCTATGTCGACCAGTTCGTCCAACTTCCTCTTGGCTGAATTGATGGTGAGATCGTTGAACCCGCCCCCGTTGATGACCATGGCGGAGGGGAAGTATTCCCACCTGCTGTGTGTTGTCAGGGGCTCTTGCAGGAGCTCGGGAACGTCGAAATCCTCGGGCCTGGTTACCGAGAAGGCGGTCTGGATAGGCACCGACTCGTCTGATGGTCGGGCATCTTCTTCGGGCTCCTTGGTTTCATGGGCGTCACGACGGGGAGCGTCGTTTCGCCTGTACTGTGCGAGCCTCCCTCCCTTGATGAGGGTTTCAATGGCGTCCTTGAGGTGGACGCAGTCTTCTGTCAAATGACCATGACTCCTATGGTATTGACAATATTTATTTTTGTCTGCCCCTGGCTTGGCGGGAGCAGGTCGGGGACTCTTGACGCCACCGTCTCTGAAATCTGTACTGGCACACTCCGCCAAAATACGCTCGCGGGAAGCCGTGAGCAGAGTGTACTCGGTGAAACGGCCGGAGGGGCCCCTTTGTTCCCGGACTTCCCGGGGTCGATCTTCCTTCCTTTTCTCCCCGGCACGTCGGGGAGGAGGCTCTTGTCGCGAGCTGCTGCTGTTGTTGGGAGCGCGAGCCCTGGAGTCTCGGGCCCTGTTGGCAGCTTCTCTCTCCTCGTAGTCCATGTATGCTCGGACCTTGTCGAGGAGGGCATCAAAAGTTGGAGGTGGCTCAATACCCACAGCCTTTCTGAATTCTGTGCCGGGGAGGAGGCCCCTCTCCAGCAAATATCTTTTCATATGGTCCGCGTAGGGGACCTGTATCGCTTCCCGGTTGAAGCGGTTGATGAATTCCCTCAAGGTTTCATCCTGTCTTTGGATGATGGCCTCGAGGGCCGCCTCAGTCTTCGGATGGCGCCGAGAAGCGGTGAAGGAACTGATGAACTGGTTCTTCAGGTTCCGCCACGATGTAATTGAGCCCGGGGCGAGTCCTTTATATCAGTCTATGGTCGCCTTCCTGAGAGTCGTGGGGAAAAGACGGCACTTGATGGGCCCCCCGACATTATGATAGTGGAGCATGGCTTCGAACCCGTCAATGTGGTCGACCGGGTCTGCTATTCCGTCGTACTCCTTCAGATGCGGGGGCTTCTCCATGCCCGAGGGGATGGGTGCATCCATGATGGCCTGCAACAGGGGACCGCGGGGGTCGTCCTCGTCGCTCCTCTCCGGAGAAAGAGAAGGGGTCCTGTAGTTATGTCTGGCACGATGATCGTGCTGAGATTCCCTCGAGCGTGATGCTCGGTGGTTGAAGGTCACACGCCCGTCTCCGGCGTGCCTCTTGTCGTGCCTTGATGGGTCGCGACTGGGTTCTTCGGCAGGGATGACGGGCTGTCTCTCATGGTAGGGCCGCCTCTGCTTTGGCCGGGGGGAAGGGCTCCTGGAGTTCTCCCTATAGTGTCTTCGCGGGGGAGAAGGGTGTCGAGCTTCCGTGACCCGAGGAGGAGGAGAATGTGGCCTCCGATGCCTCCTCGGGGGTCGTCGATCATCTTCAAGTGCCCTTAATCTTTCTCCTTGGGCGAAGATGAGGTAATTTGTCTGATTAATGGCCGCGAACAGAGCCTGAGTCGTGGCATCTGCCCCGGCAGGAACTGTGACTTCATAGAACCGGGCAGCTCTGCGATGAGTGAGAGCTACCGGGTCGTCTTCGAGTGCTGGAGGGGTCGTAGAGGATGATGCAGTAGCCCCGTCCTTGTAGGAGGAAGGTCCAGGGGCGGTTGTCACAGGGATGGCACTGTGGCCGGGATCACCGGGATTGTCGAGGTGTCCATTCTTGTCTGCGGGACCGTTATTAGTGTCGGCGACACGGACGGGCTGCTCGTCGCGAGCTGGATCAGCCATGACAGGTAGTTGAATTGAGCTTTGGTCTTTAGAATTGTTCGTTAGACGGGGAAGCTGTTTCCCACAGACGGCGCCACTGATCTGACCTGATCAGAAATAGACCGTCACGACTGGCTCCGAGCAGAAAGCTTTTTTGAACGAGGTGGGGGGGGGGGGGGGGGGGGGGGTACCTGCAAGGCACTCCGATGCTGAAGTAAGTAGGAGTACGAGCAGATAATAGCGAGTTTAAGGTTAGAATGATGAATACCTGACCCTCTGGAAGCAGAGGGTATTTATAGCCCCCAGCGCTGGGCCAAGGTTCCTTCATTGGGCCGGGCAGGTTTGGCCCAATGGAGGAACTGCCAGGTTCTACGTGTGTAGTGGGGACCCGCACGTGGTCCCCTCCCTGGATGTTCTGCGTGAAGTGCGGGCGGACGGAGACGCGGTCTTTCCGGAGTATCGTTGGGGAACAGTGGACTGAGTCTGCCCTAGCTGGGGTGCTCGAGGTAACGTCGAGCTGGACCTCAGAATGTGGCGCTGGACCGCCTGATGTCGAGCTGGAGGTGTATCGTCGAGCAGGTGGCTGTGCGTCGGGCACGGCCTCGCTCTTTGGTCGGTGAGGTCCCTGTAAATCCATTTGGACTGGGCCTTTGCAATGCTTTTGGGCCTGTCGGGCTCAGTCCAGAACAATGTTTCAACTTACCTAAATAATGATGTATTGAAAATAAGTGTGTATTCAAAATTATCTTGTGAACTAAAAAAATAAACAAAAGTAATTATGAATGTAATAGTATTTAACAGTAGTTAAATGTCTTCAATGTCAAAAGCTGCAGAATTCATTAATCAGGCATGAAATAAACTCATTCTAAAATATGATGAATTTTTATACTCAGTTATGAAATATGATAGGATTTACGATGGATGATGTTGGTTTCCCAAAAACTTGCATTGAAAAGAATGAAATTGAAAATAATTGAGTTGGAAACTGCAAATAAGGATGCATGATTTATTATTTATATATAAGAGCCATAATTAATTGTCAGGCATTCAAAGAGTTAAATGGTAAAAATGGTAATCATTAAATTGGAATGATTAAGTAACGTGTATAATTCAATTAATTAGGATTAGTAATAATCTCCGTAGATGAAATGACCATTAAAGATACAAAATTTGGATGTTAAACGAAATTAATTATAATAATTAAATAATCTTATAGTATCTACTTTAAGATTAAATGTCATTTGGATGAAATGAATCATTTAATTAGTTATTTAGTCAATTACAAAAAAAAAAGTTATTTTGTAGTGTAAATGAAATTTGAGTTAATGAGTAATATAGGATATTCAGTGGCATATTTCAATGATAGGTATGAAGTTGATCAGTTTGTATTTATAAATTGATTTATAATTTGTTTGGAGATATAAATCATTTTTATATTTTTAATTACTTTGGGATCCATTTTTTTTAATTTTTAGGAAAAAATTTCAAAAAAAAATTTTCAATGAAAAACATTTGTTTTGTTTTATAATCTTCCGAGTAAAAAATTAGTTTTAAAAAGGAAAACACATTTCCGTTTTTTTTTATTTTCAAAAAAAAATTTTTAACAATTAGTTACACTGTTTAACTATTTTTTAATTTAAATTTTATTTCCTGATTGTTTATAATATGTGTTGATGTTTATAATATGATTCAATTAACTATATTTGGATCAAAAGAATATTAATAATTCTTAATGAGACAAATATTCATGATTTTAAAATACCTACGAACAGTCAAATATAGTATGGTATATCAGAAAATTGGATTTGAATTCAGATTTTTTCCCTACTCACTCCGAATTCGTAAAATATTTGAAATGTATGTATGAACTTTTTTGAAATTGTTTTATTTTATTATTTATAATGTAATTTCATTTTGAAAAAAAAAATATTCTTATTAAAAAAAATTATTTCACAAAATAGATGATGACATAGCAAAGATACCCGAATCCAATATACCCGAATCCAATTTGAGTTTTGATTCTTCGTTACGTTTAGGACAGGGTGCGGAGATTGTTTGAAATTTTGGGAGATAATAATCGTCTATGATCCATTCTGTTGCCATACCTAAATACGTTGAAAGGTAACCACGACCCCATAATTTATTTTTACCAAACTTCTACCATATTATGTGACAACTGTTTTGTTTGACAAACAGAACAATGGTATTTGACCGCCAAAATTTGTGAACTTCAATATCCAACATTAGCAAAAAAAATCAACAAAATATAAGATAAATTATTATTATTCGATAAACTGTCTTGAAAACGTAATTCATTATTATTTACATTAGCAAAAGAATTTCTCTAGATCGTAATCTCACGCAGATGTGTTCCAAACAGCTTCTACAAGAGTTTACTGATTATTTCCCCATCCTGCATTTGGAGGAAACCCTTTCATGTTCTGGTTTTGTGGCACCCCTCCCATGTTGTCAGGATAGTTATTTTATGGCATACCATATCCACTGTTAGGAGGAGGAGGGGGTCTGCCCATGTTAGGAGGAGGCCCACCCATATTGGGAGGAGGGTAACCGCCAGTTGTATTGTTAGGGGCGTATCCGCCTGCATTTGGAGGGGCGTATCCACCTGCATTTGGAGGGGCGTATCCACCTTGGTTGCTAGGAGGGGCTGGAGCATATCCACCTGCATTGTTGGGAGGGAATCCACCAGTATTGTGAGGCGAACCAACCATATTAGGCCCAGGATTCTGCATTGGAGGCCTAGTCTGCATATCTCTGTTCACCACATTTTCCCTTCTCCTGTCAAAGTTTCTTGACCTGTCAGCATTACGAGGTCTGTCATTGCGCTTGTTCCTTTCATTTGCACGGGTATTGTTTCTAACCCACTCTTCATGGTACTTGGGATCATAAGGAACAACTTGCCCATTAATAAAGGGCTCATCCGGTGAGAGGGAAACATAAAAAGATCACCGTGTGTATCAAATTATGCAGGCATTTTACATCAAGAAATATGATATGCTATGGAAAGACTATAAACAACAGAATTATCAATCTCGGATAGCGGAGCGGAGCAGCCGACTCCAAAAATAGGATAGCATGATAGCGGATAGCAGGATAACCGCTATTTGACTATTTTTAAGACTAATTATCTTAATAATATAATAAACATATATTTAATGTAAAACCAAACAAAGGATAGGAATAGAGTTATTAAATGACTATTACTTCAAAAAAAGCCAGATTCATTTATTTTAAGGGTAAATCTGAGTTTTGACGTTCAAAACAGTTTAAACCTGCTCAGGCTAGGAAGTGCCCCGCTCCCGCTACCCGCTAAACATCAAATAGCGGAGCGTCACCGCTCCGGGCCGATATCTCAGGATAGCACCGATAGCGACCGTTATCGATAACTCTGATATACGGTATATTGATTGTATCGCCTGATATTACTAAACTCAAGTATATAACAGCTCAAGTTAATCACAATAAAAATCAATAAGACCAATGTGCAAGCCAAAAACGACTATTCTCTGGTGACCTTAAGCACTTATGTACCACAGAAGGTTACTAAACATCCATTCCTTTCATCTATATAATTAATAAATCATTTTCAAGGAGGGTGAGTTAAAAGGTTATGTGATAGATAAATATAGATTGAGCACACAGCTCAACACTGCTTCATCAGAATAATTGAGTAAACAGTTATACTATTTTTATAAGGTGGAATGCCAACACTAAAAGTCTTAAATATCAACATAGCATTTCTTTAACGGGTCATTTCATTTTATCTTTCTACTTTATTACATTTTCACTCTAGGGGTCTTGTGCAAGCTATTCCTTATACGGTACACCTCAGAATGAATGAATATAATTAGAAGCCATGAGACTGGAAAATAGAATTGACCTCCATAATCTTTCTCCTTCACATTCAAATATGAATTAGATAGAACCCATCGAACTTTGGGAAGTTCTGCAATTTGAAAAGTACAAAACCCTTAATATAAAAGAAAAACAAAATCACAAGAAAAGTAGTTGAAACTATGTACTATACCTTTAAGTTTGTAGGAGAGCTCTTCATACACAAGAGCTCCAAAAGCAAAGTAGTGTCTAGTTGAAACAGAATATATCTTCATCCTTGCTTCCTCCTCATTGTCAACAAAACAAACCACTCACAATAAGGTTCTATTTGAATTGGTTTATTCGAGCTTATCTACTGGAATAATCACTAGTGAAATGTTTTTGGAGAAATTATGAAAACAACTTGCGACATTTTCACAATAGCCAGAATCACTTTATTTAATCTGAATCAAACCGAGCAGAAAACTAATGAAAATTGAGATAAATTATGGTGACGATTACCTTCCACCGATAACCTGCGCGAGTGTTTTGGTGTAACCATCAATGATTTCATCTCTTGTGGGATCACCTTCATGTTTCTCCATAACCACAAGCCAGTGTTCGAAATCGCATCCATCGAGCAAGATGGTTTCCTTTGGGGGACGGTTAGACCAGTTAGGGTTAGGGTCGTTGAGTGAGGAGGTGGTAGCGTGTGTGGAGAAAGAGCAGAGGGAATTAGGGAGAAGGACACGGCGGGAGGTGACGGCAAAGGCGGAGAGAGAGCGGAGACGAAGAAGGAAAGAGGGAAGGGTGGTTGTGGAGAGGGAGCGAGAGAGGAAGGAATGTAGGGTTAGGGCTTTGGGGGAGAGACGATAGAAGATTTGGTTCGCCATAGTTATTTGTGTGAGGAGTGAGTGGAGAAACGTAATGAAGAAGAAATGATAAATATGTAGAGGTTAGGGTTTTAGTTTATTTTTTAGAGCAACAAGAAAGTGTAAGAAGATATATTTTGGTTTTGAAACAATTGAATAATTAGGTACAAAACTTAAAAAATAAATAAGTAAATTTGTTACGACAAATTTTCTCTCTCACTCTCTTTATTTCTCTCGCACCAGCTCATGTTATAGAGACACTAATCTGACTAGTGTTACAGAGACATGTGTACTGATTAAGCGTTGTTTTTGTCAAAAATTGAACGCAGTATTCTTTGAATGTCCTCCTTTATATTCCTTTATAGAGACCCGATTATCACTTAAATCTAAATATTTTATTGATAAATATTCTCTTTGATAATATCATATTTATACCGTTTTTTATCTTCCAAAATTAAAAGAGAATGATTAAGGAAAACTCTTTTTTTTTGGTAGGGGATTTACTACAACGTCCTCATGTGATACGTGAAGTTGCCATTGTGATGGAGAAGGAAATTTATGACAAATCTATATAAAGAATAATACTAAAATAATATCACTTTAACTTATATGAGAGTTTATGAATCATTTTGGCAAATACATTAATATTATTTGATCTTCTTATCTTATGATTGTCATTTCACTAAAGAATTAGTCACAAAAAATAAGCGAGTATGTCAAATTCTTCACATGTCTCAAACTTATCCGACCATAAAAATCAAAATATAAATATTTTAATATAATCAATAACCAGAATTCCACTTTATTCTCTTAAGTGAAATTTCCACTATATACAATTCTATTCCCTAGTTGCAGACTTTGCGACGCAGAAATTAAAATTATTTTATACCACACAGTTATATATTAAAAATAATCTTTATAAAAATTTATTTTGACTTATTGTATATTTCTTGTGCCACTTAAAAAATAAAATAAAATATATATATATAGAAAAAAATTTAAATCAGTTATCTTTCACAATGCATTTAAATTTAAATAATTTTGTTTTCAAAGAAATCAAATTTATTTATTTGTTAATTATCCAGAAAAATAAATCTCACTCTCGTGAAATAAATTTTAAAATCAATTATGTTTCTCATTTTATTCATATTCATATTTATATTCATATATAATTAAATTAAATTAATTTTATTTACAGAATAATCAAATTTATTTGGCTTCCCGCAATTGACAATAGGCAATTTACTTCAGAATTGAATGTCCACAAGCTTGCATAGACCATATTGCCATAAGACAAAATTGTATTTAAATTGTATTTATGTCCTTTAAGTTATTTATAAGTTTATTTTATTCTGTTAAATTCAATATTTAAAAAATTGAACTAAATCAGCTAGTCAAACCGACAACCGAATATATCATCGATCTAATTAATTGTTGAATTAGATAAATTTTAGATAAAAAATGGTTTGAACCAACCAAAACCGATAAAAACCAGCAATTCAACTATTTAAAAAAATGGGCAGATTAATTGATTAAAATGTCATAAATTTATAAATTAAAGTACAAATAAAATAAGAGGTGATATGTTTAAAAAGAATAAAATAGTTTTTCAGGTAACCAAGCTAGAATATTTATAAAACCACCTCACGTCAAGTGTTTAAATGTTATTACAATGACGAAACAAATCCATTAATTTAAATTATCTCAATGTTATTATTCATTTTATTTATTTAAAAAAAAAAACAAAATAATGAATAATTCAAATGGTAGATAAAATAATGAATGAGTCTATTAAAAACAATGGGAGGTTGTGACTAATACCAATATTAAGTTACACAATATCAAGAAATCTATCGTATAAGAAAGTTTACTTTTTTTTCTTTCAAAAATTGGCACATGGTTACTTGAAAAACTGCCTCAACTATTTGCCAAAATAATTTCTAATTGACTTTTTCCTTCATAATTTATTTCTTGATTTTATGACTGTTTCACGATTTTTATTCATGGTTTTCACTTTTAACATTCATTCTCAAATGTTCCCATGATCATTGGCAGTCAGGATTGAAATCATATTTCACAAACGTTTCAACCTCTATATTTCACATTCAAAACGGTTTCACACCCATTAATCTCTGATGGCAAAATGATTTATTTTTCAAAAACCTAACTCTTCCTCTTTCGCCTTCCTTCTTCTTCTTCTTCTTCTTCTTCTT